TACTTTTTTTGTCCTCCTCCCTGTCAGCTCCATATTCAACATCTTTTGTCGACTATATCCACTATCCCGACTCTGCACGTGCCCTAACCACCTCAGCCTTGCCTCTCCTTGTCTCCAAGCTGCTCAATCTGAACCGCCCCTCTGCTGAACTCATTTCTGATCTTGTCCATCCTGCTCCATGACCTTTAATGATTAATTAGCTAATATTTTTTCTCTTCGCAGGTTTGAGGATTGTGCAGACACTGATGATGATGATTTGGTGCTTCCAGACTGTATTGTTGTTCATAGCTCACCTGGTTCTCTCAGACTGGGCCCCGGCTGCCCCCCCAACCCAAAACAGCTTCTTCTACAGTGACTACCTCAATGAAAGCGGCAACAACGAACGTATGCACATTATTGCTCAGACCCTAACCTTTTAATATAAAATCAGTATCATAAGTTAAATCTGTATTTATTCTGCAGTTCATTTTATTGGTATGAAACTCTACGTGGACTCTGCTGAGCAATCAGTGCTTTCGGTCAGAGGGGGTAATGCGACCCTACAATGCAGATTTTGGTATGAGCCTGTGCCGAGCTCACCAAGGGAGGTCCGGGTCAAGTGGTCCTGGCTGCCCGCCGCTGGGGGACAGGAGACTGATGTGATCGTGGCTTTCGGGACTCGATTCCGAAGTTTTGGAGATTTCAGGTTAAAGATATGATCAACTGAATACGATAACCTGATCGCTGACTGTTTGACCATGTTTTTCTTTAAACTATTAACATGCACTGTCTGTCGGGCAGGGGTCGTGTGCAGCTCCGACAGGATTTCCCAGGAGATGCTGCACTTGTGTTGAATAAACTCTGGCTGAATGATACAGGTCGCTATCGATGTACTGTGGTGGATGGACTGGAGGACCAAAGCGCAGTGGTTCACCTAGAGCTACAAGGTACTGCATTTACACCTTCAGCTATCCTGTTTGCTTCCGTGAATGAAAGCTGCCACATGTAGAGTCTAGATCAGCGGTCCCCAAATTTTTTTTGCACCACGGACCAGTTTATGTCCGACAATATTTTCACGGACTGGTCATTAAGGTGTCGCGGAGAAATTCAACAAAATAAAACCGGTACCAAAAAGAAGATGATTTATTCATAACACACGGGGAAATTCCTAGAGAAACAGAGTTAACGATAAAAACGTCGGGAAAAAAAAACCTCTGACAAGCTAAAAACCGATAAAAACCCTGAAAACCAGAAATTTCACATCCGAGCCTCATCTTTTACGGCCCGTTACCAAACGACTTACGGACCGGTAGCGGTCTGTGGCCCGGGGGTTGGGGACCGCTGGTGTAGATATCCATTATAAAAGCAGACTGCTTACATTTGCAAATAAATCATCCATTTAAAAAAAAAAAAAAAAAAGCTGCAAACAACTGATAAACATTTTACTTTCCAAATTGAGTTGCCATGGAAAACCACACGATTAACTTTAACCACTCATCTGTTTGGTTCAGCTGACCCAGTAGCCTGTGATTTCCCACTGTTGCAGATCAAAGTATTCTCTTTTGTAGTTTGTAGTAAGAGCAGATGATTGCAAACCTACTTACTGGAATTAAAAAAACAAACAAAACAAAACACAAAAACCCACAAACCAGTGGTAGTATCACTTGGTAAGCAAAGTAGCAACAATAGATGAAATAACAATAGCAGTGAAAGCTTGACACACTTTGAAGTCCACATAGATATTCGGATGTCTGATTGAATCTTCCACCCAGGTGTGGTGTTTCCCTACCAACACCCTCATGGTCGTTACCATCTGAGCTTCCTGGGAGCCCAGCAAGCCTGTAAGGAGCAGGACTCGACAGTGGCCACCATCACACAGCTCTTCCAGTGTTGGAAAGAGGGAATGAACTGGTGCAATGCCGGTTGGCTAGCTGATGGGACAGTCCAGTATCCGATCACGCAGTCCAGGGAGCCCTGCGGGGGAGCCCGCCTCGCCCCGGGTGTCCGCCGCTACGATAGAATTCACCTCTACCCTAATCACTACGATGTCTTCTGTTTCTCCTCTTTGCTCCAAGGTGAGGCGAAGCAGAAGGTGATGCGAGGTCAACAAGGCCACAGAGAAGCTAAAGTGATATTGAGTGGCCATTTCCTGATGTGTAATTGTGTTTTCCTTACTGTGACATGTCAAGATGCCCACACTGACAAAGATTAGCAGATCCATTACTTAGCAGTTTCACACCCTCATTTCTGAAGAGCACAGTGGCACAGATTCCCATTATCCCTCTCTTTAAAGGTGCTAAGACTCATTACTTGAGCCTCCATTTATTTATACATATAGTGTATGAATAAATGACCTAACTGAATGTTCTAATTCATCATAATTAATTTTACAGAAACTCAAGTACAAATACACATTAGCATTTATGGGTGATAAATCGCAGCTATATAGCAGTCTGAAACACGTCTGTGCAGCTAACTGTCAAAATAAATGTGTTTTATTCTAAGGGAGAGTCTACTACCTTCAGTCCTCTCACAAGATGAACCTGACTGAAGCTCAGCATGCGTGTCAGGAGGACGGAGCAGAGATTGCCAAAGTTGGACAGCTGTATTCTGCGTGGAAGTTCACGGGGCTTGACCGCTGTGCTGCCGGCTGGCTGGCCGATGGAAGCGTTCGCTATCCCATCACCAGACCTCGAAGTAACTGTGGTCCGTCTGAGCCAGGGGTACGCAGCTTTGGTTTCCCACCTCCACAGCACAAGCATGGAGTCTACTGCTACAAGTTAGATACTGAAAGAGTGTAGATCTCCACCCATCCTTGGTGGGCCATAACATTTAAATATTTTTTAAAATTGTTATTATAGCCAACAGGATGCTTAACACTGTAGACGAGTGCACTTCTGCAGTCTGCAAAACATCTACAGGTTCACAAGATGATGAACAGAAGAAACTTTAATGCTACAACATTTAAAAAAAAAAGAAAAAAAAAAGAAAGAATCTAAACTCATATACATTTCTTTCCATGTGAGCTACTACAGATTTTACTTATAATTACCACTGAAATTATTCAAGTAGAATAAAACTACTTTCAGCTGTTTCTTCATTAACAAGGGCTCACCACATCAGCTAGCACTGCACATTTGATTTAGCAGTTTTTGTAGAGCTTTTTCACGTTGGATCCATATGTAAACCACTACGCTATGGAGCTTTAAATACGCCAACAGAATAGTAAAAAGAAAATCCCTCCTTATATTTGACACGAGGATTCAGAGCTCAAATACTAGCATTCCTGTACTTTTTAAACATTTTTTTTTTCCTTTCACTTTTACTATAGCTGAGAGACAGCAGGAATATAAAAGATAGGAAAACCTGGGGAGAAGGAAAATAACATTCAACAAAGTTGCTGTCTGATTTCCTCTTTCATACATGAACGTAAAGCATTTACTGTGATGTCTCACCAAGTTGTACTTACATCGTCTGAAGCACATGACAATCAACTCAAAATCTAGCAAAGGAGCCGGCTAATTGATTTTTTTAAATGGAAATATATATCCTATTTATTACAAATAAAGATCCTCATACAGAACATCTGGTTTTGTCTCTCTGCTGCTGCTCAGTGTTTGAATGTATAACTCAAGCATGCCACCTGTCCTCAACAAATAAGTCTGTTAATTGTTAAACTAAAAAAAAAAGTGTTTGAATTCAACTATCCTGCTAATTCGCACACATTTATATTAAATACTGAAATGTTTGAAATAATTGTCATGTTGTAAGTTTGCATTTGAGATGCAGTAGCCTGGCACAAAGACACAAAACACTCCAGGCTTTGTCCACAGTGAAAAAGAAAACATATCACTTCCACTTCTTTAAGTAATTCATGTGCAATCAAAATAAATAAATCTGTATTTATATATAAGACGGTATGCTCTTCTCTATGTAAATTGAGCTTCGAGAAGAAGATGCTCGATTTTCATCCTGACCCCTGCCTTTTTCTGAGGAGCCAACTTCTTAAACACTTTCGTGAGGGTCATAAAGTAATACTCATCGCAGTCTTGTGGTTTCGGAGTGTCTGTCTGTACTCCTTTGTGACATTTAGAGGAGTCCATCTCTGTACTCCTCTTCATTTTCCTCCCAGTGTCACATTTGCCTGATCTGGTGAAACTGTGAGACACAGAATGGCCGCCGCTGGCTCTGTGGCTGTTTTGGCCCTCTGAATCTGAGACGATAGTTATGCCGTTACCGTTCACATCCCTCTCCTGTAAAGATAAAACATTTTTTAAACCAATTAAAATCTCTTGGATGACTTTCCTTCTTGTTGGTTTGATGCTCAATTGGTAGAACTGGTTCCACATCAACAACGTTGAAAGAACACACTGAAACATTTGGAGCTATTAAGCAAATAGCTTAAATATGTGCAGGGTTCACATCTCGCCATAAGGATTGTGGTAATCAGTGGGACCTTCAACCGATGTTAGCATATTTAAATTTAGCAATGAAACAGAAGCAGCTGGTTGAAGGTAATGGGTATTAGGTGACTGCTGCTTGTCTGATATATGGCTGGCAGTGCATGATTTTATTAATATAAATAGAAAGGTACTCTACTACAATTAAAAGTCTGTAAAAATCTTAAAATGAAACCCATTCTCTCAACCCCCTCAGCCCCAGTTATCATGAATGTTGAATATCAGAGACATCCACTCATTCTGGGCCATCTCTTTTTCCTTCAGAGAAGGGGAGCTGTGCCCCATCTATAAATTTCTTGGATGTCCCCCTGATGTTTTTAATAAATGCTGGTTTGCTTTGCTTGGACAAGCTGACCAATTGGAAGTGACTGAGTCTCTTTCTAAAGTGGCTACAGCTTTTCCAGTAGACCACACACAAAGTATTTAATAAAACTATAGACATGCACACTAAATATTTAGGAACATTGTTAAGAGATAATGCATATCTGCTTTAACGTAGAGCATGTGCAGCACTACACCATCACACCCTCACCATGTCATATGAAGGGAGGGAGCCTCTGTCATTTTGGAATCTTTGTGTCAATTCAGCCTGTAGTTTGGATAATTTCCAGACCCTCCTCTGTTGTTGCTCACTGCAAAATGACAGATGACTGTGGAAAGTTTTCCTTCTTATCACTGTGGCTTTGCAGTACAAACAGTGGTAATGCGCCTGACTTCTGCACTGGAGTCTACACCTGTGGAAGGTGTATTCTGAAACAGAAAAGATGTAAACGTCATGATTAGGAATGAGTTGGTTTAACTGAAACTTAAAGTTCTGAAACATACTTCCAGTTTCAAAGGCTTCCCTTCGATGGCTGTCCAAGTGGATCCTAAGACTGGGGCGGTTTGTGGGTTTGAAAATTTCAGGTGAACAAAACGGACAATGAAATTTTCCTGGAGAACAGCAAGTGTTGCATTTTTGCAGAGCAGGAATAGAAGATCCCTTCCGGATAGACACGTGAAACTGGAACAGATAATAAAGTCATTAATCCGAAAATATCAGATGCACGAAGAAGGGCAGCCAATAACAAGTCCTGATTTCTGCTGGAGGTACGACAGCAACGAAGCTTAGTAGAAATGCAATTACTTGGAAACAGCAATGTGGAATTATAAAGTTTTAATTTGTGTTATTTAATGTGTCCAATGCAAAGGAAAAAAATGTGTAATTCTGATTGCAGTTGAATCACTTTTAATGACTCTTAGACTATGTTTGTCAGCAACTGCTAGCCTTTTTCAGAGTTAAACTTACTCCTTTGCATCTCTTTGTTTAAGAGATGCATCTCTTTGTTTAAGAGATGCAAACTGTTTGTTTGCATTTTTCTTTTTTGACCTTGTTTAGGTCAAAAAAGAAAAATGAAAACAAACAGTTCCTGTGACTAATGACTAGCTTCATTGTTAGCCACCTGCTAGATAAGCTGAATGACACTTAGTTAGTTGCCAAATAGAAAACAGTCAACCTGCTATGAAGGCAAAAGACTTATAATCAATGCTGCCTAGAATAAAAATACTTACATTTAACTGCTTGGGACTGTCCATCTTTGTCACAGAGCTACCTGAGGCCTGCTCTTCTTCTTTGGGGAGCTCACTGCAGTTTTTCACCCTTTATATTGCTTTGCTGCCTCCCTCTGGTTTTGAAGTGTCTGTCTGTACACGTTAACATTTTTGTACTCATTTTCGTCATCCTCACGTTCACCTGACCAGGGGAAGCGTCGGTGCTCTGAAATGATAGTTATTTTGTTACAGTCAAAACCTTTGATGTAACTCGCCTCTTAGTGTGATGATCAGTTTGTAGTAACATGCAGGTAACATTATTCAGCATGCCCACATCTTTCTAAAGGCTTATAAACCAGCTTTGTCACCGACTGCTAACCATTTTTAGGGTTAAAGTTACTCTTTTGCTTCTCTTATGTTAAATACAAATATAAGCAAACAATTTCCAGTGTTATGATAGCATACATATCAGCCTATCTGATATGTTGCCTGTAAGCCAATTAGCTACCAGACAGAAGAGTTAACCTCCTATGAATATAAAAGGCTCATAATAACTGTTAGTTGCTAGCTAAAACAATATTTGCATTGAACTGTTGGTCACTGTCCGTCTTGCTCACAGAACTACCTGAAGCCTGTCTTTTCTATGAATATAACAGCAATTGTTTATCCTTTAAATTGCTTTACTGCCTCCTTCTGGTTCCTGTCAACAATAGTTTGAGTCTTTTAATTGAATTTTACAAAACCTTTAACATTAATCCCCCCCCCCCCCCCCCCCCCTTTACTAAGTCCAAAGCCTAAAGTACATGTGCAAACTTGATCTTAACTTGCACCAGTTCTGATGTAAAACTGTAACCACTGCTATCTATAAACAGTAAGTACAGTTATCAGTAAAGAAGTATGCACAAACCTTGAGTCACCGCTCTTTTCTTTATATTTTGCTAGAAAACTGCTAGATAAATGCAGCGATTTTTTGAGTTTGTACAGTTCTAACAAACATGACAATCAATATTTATTATGACCATCTTTATCCTTTGACACAGCCTGAACTTTCTTAGACAGCTTCCTTCTTTAAATAGTCTTCAGGAATAGTTCTCCAGGCTTCTTGAAGGACATTCAAAGCTCTTCTTTGAATGTTTTGCCTTTTGTTGTGTTCTCTGTCAAATTTCTCCCACACTAAGGTTGAGGTCCAGGCTCTGTGGAGGCCAATCCATGACTGATAGTTTTCCACTGTGTGTTTTTCTATCTAGGTGAGCTTCCAATGCATTGAGAATGTGTTTGGGATTATTGTGATGCTAAAACAAATGCGGTTCCCAGAAACTTTCCAAATGGTATTTCATGCTGGATTAAAATTTCACAGCACTTTTCTGTGCAGAACAGCAGTTGCTGAAATGAAGCCACAAACCCTCGTGTTTTACAGAGGCTGTAGGCACTCACCTCACTCCTGACCTCCTCTATACTTGCTGATGATGATTTTGAAGCAAAAACCTTACATTTGGATTCATCACTCCATAAGACTTCTTGTCACTGATTTTTAGAACAGTTTTTATGTAACTTGGCATGCATGTGCCTTTTCTCCCTGTTTTCTTCCTTGAGAATGGTTTCTCGACTACCACCCTTCCACTGTGAATATTTCTGATGATGCTTCAGTGAACAGTGTAGATGGAGCAGGTCCTGTCAGGTCTTTGGTGGATTTTGTTCCCCTGTTTTTTAATAACATGACTCTCGGATACTTTTCATCTGCTGTAGATAGTTTTACGTTTAAAGATATACCTGGAAAAAAAGATAATAGGGGAAAAGCTGGGAGCCGAGGATCAAGATGATACTGACAACCTTAAAGCTGCTTAAAAGGGAAAAACAATATTTTACTGTTAATGCTGCTGTTTACTCTATCTGTACCAGACTTTAGACAGGACATAGTTTTTATTAGGTGAAGTTTTTGTTATTGAACTTCCCAACATGATCCCAACCATACTCGAGATGCTGACTCACAGTCAAAACAAATATTGCACTGTCTCAAACACAAATGCCTCATACACCTGAAAGATACCAAGGGGTGTGTGAATGTACACTGACGTTTCTGCTTTCTTCTCACTGTTCACACATAATATTTCATTTCAGATTTTCAGAGGTCAAAGCTTTGCCACCCAGAACTCCTCACGCTCAATTAAGTTGCCTTTGAAAATAATTTTCTGCATGATATTCACGCTGAGTTCAGGAAATCAAGGAAATCTATTATCTTGCCTGGCTGTGTGATGCAGATGGGGGATCATGTGAAATTAAGGCATGAATGTCATGTTGATAAGAATTTAAAATGCTTTGTTTTAAATAAGTAGATGCTACATATATCCTTGAGCTCCACATTACAACCAAAACATATGACTGTCATCTGGTGGATTTAAAGGTTGTGGTTCTCATTGCTTACCGAAAAGCCTCCATTTCAACCAAAGAATTGTCCGTTTATATATAACAGAAACAAAAATATGATGTTTTCAGAGTTTCGCTTTAATATAATAATATAAAACTGTCATTCAACTATAAAACTTTATGGGTGATTCAGTCCCTATACAACCACAGTGAGAGCTAAAGCAAATAATTCCTTGAAGTACATCCTAAGAAAGGCACAATCCCACCACTTGGAAAAGATGGTGAGCAAAGAGGAGCTAATCCCACTCCTCGTCCTCCTGCCGCCCCTTGATTCCAGATAAGACACTTTGATCCTCAGGTGTCCCAACAGGTGTTGATTGTATCTCCGGTGTTTGATCCTTTGAGGAATTTCCTCTGCTTTGCCACACGGTGGAGTCAGTGTAATACAACACAAGGACTTTTGCAGACTAAGTAAGCAACCCCAGTCATCTCATAAACTGCTCACATAGGAATTGAAAAGGAGAAAAGAAAAAAAAGGAGGAAATGATCGTTTTAGATCCCAGACAATCAGTGAATCAACAATCAGATATAAGTCATTAAATGCTAGACAGAAAACGACCTTCAGAGAGTGCCACCTTCTTACTGCTTTTCTTTGTGAAACTACTTTCTCTGTACACAAACCTCCTTTTTATGAATCTCTCGTTAAATGGAAATAGGGCATCCTATTGTGAGTCATTTTATACAAATTGGTTTGTTTGTATAAAATGATCTAAAACCTGTTTTTCTGTTGAGTAACTGGTTCCCGAAACTGACCCGAAAGCAGAGCACTGTGTGTTTGGCAAGCTATGGCATCTGTGTTTTATTGGAAAGGAAAGACACAAAGAGTGCAGTTTTACAGCCATGTGTAAAAATGCCTCTAAATAGAAACAAAACAAAGGCGGTGGATAAAATTTGACCAAATATGAGGCTGCCAAGTACACAAATGTTTGGTTTGTTGGCTTTACAATGTGGACTTTTAATAATCTACCTTGCATAACAAGTAATTCTTCACAAAAACATGCAGTAGGTGGATTCATTCATTTTGTTCTCACATTAGAGCCAACAGCAGAATATGCAATATAGTTCCACTTCATGGTCCTTTGTAATGGCTTTATAGCAATTTTGTTTTAGGGAAAAAATATCCTGTTTCCAATACAGGTGCTAATTGTCTTGCAGGTCAGGTTACGGTAAATTGTAATTAGCCAACATTATACAGCAATCTGCCAATACAGCAATGTGTGAGAGATTTTACAGGACTCTGAAAACCTAAATATACACCATGCCTCAGTAGCTTGTAGAACCAGCTTCAACAGCAACAACTTGAAGTAATGGTTTTCTGTATAACTTTATCAGCCTTTCACATCACTGTGGAGGAATTATGGCCCACTCTTCTATACAACACTGCTCCACTTCATTGAAGTTTATTACCATTAGTTATGCATGCCTAAGTCTTGCCACAGTATTTCAGTCGAGCTGAAGTCTGGACTTATCATTTTCAGCCATTCTGTTGTAGATTTACTGCTGTGCTTGAGCTCAAGTCCTGTTGAACGACCTCGTTCTTTCCAACCTTTAGTTGTCACACAGATGCCCACATGGCCTACAGTTGAGTTTGTGGTCAGCTCAATGACTGGAAGGTGCCCAGGCCGTGTGGCAGAAAAACAAGCCCAAACCATCACCACACCACCACCATGTTTAGTTGGTATGAGGTGTTTGTGCTGATATGGCGTCTTGTTGTTTTTTTTTTGTGGGGGGGGGTTCAAATATGCTACCGTGCATTACAGCCAAAGATCTGCACTCTGGTCTCATATGTCAAAAAGACATTGTTCCAGAAATCTTGTGGGTCATTGTCATGCAACTTTACCAGCTCTAGTGTCGTGTTCTTTTTAGAGAGAAGCGGCTTTTTCCTGGCAACCCATCCAAACAAGCCAAACAAGTATTTTTAGTGAATTTAGATATTGAACTTGAACATTTAACATACAAACCAAGGGCCTGTATAGTGTGAGATGTAGAATTTGCCAGAATTTGTGTTTCTGTAAAGGCGCTCACACTTTCTTATCAGCTAATCAGTTAATTAAGTGCATTTAATTATCAGCACCTGGCTGCTACTTGTCCACCTAATTCCTGTGGAAGCAGCAAAGACGTACTTAGTGTCTTTTTCATGTAGAGCTGTTTTTCAGAGCACAATAATGATACAAAACTAACAAATATATTTAGGGTTCTAAACTTGTGCATAATTTAACAATTATTATTTTACCAAATTTTTAGGTTAAAGGAGCATTTTTATATTGTGCTACATTTGCCTAGCAACATGAACTTCTGTTTCACTACAGGCTGCTTTTGTATACATGAGAGGACTGTAACACAGAAGTCACACAGCTAGAAGTGACTTCTTCAGTATTCTAGTTATCTATATTTTGTCAAGTAATACTGTGTAATACTCAGAGAAATTTTTTTATGACTTTTGGTGCAGATCTCAGTATCAGAGGTGTTGATTATTTGACTGTTCACCTTGAAGAACACAATTACACCATAAAATGAAGGCTTTGTTGCTGATTCTTCTTCTTCAAGAAATTCATGAAACTCTCAGACTACAAGCTGCCAGAATATAGCTCTGTCAAACTATAAATATAAGTCTTACAAGCCTAACTGAATTCCACACTTGGCCACTTGCTCTTCATAGTTGAGGTTGTAAGGCCTAACACAGGCAATATTTTGGTGCAACCTCAGGAAACAGTGTCATGGAGTTGGTTGGGAAGTTTCAAAACAAAACAGAAAAAG